AAAACGGCGTTGCTGAACGTACTAATCGCACGCTGAACGACCACGCCCGATCAATGATTGAGGACGCGAAAGAGGTCCTACAAGATAAGAAGTTGCCTCAAAACTTCTGGAGCGTTGCAATCCGACATGCTGTTTGGATTAAAAATCGCGTACTCACCCGTGCTCTCGACGACAATAAGACGCCTTACGAGGCGTACTTTGATCGTAAGCCATCTCTCCAAGCCCTTCGACTCTTCGGTTGCCTCGCATACGCTCACGTCCCCAAGAAGTACCAATCCAAGTTGGGTGCGCGGGCGATTGAGTGTGTGCATGTTGGCTTCGCGGAAGAGAAGAAGGCGTATCTGTTGTATGATAGAGTTGCACGGAGGATGTTGGAATCGCGGGATGTGGAATTCTTGGAGGCGGATAGTAAGGAGAGGGTGCAGATTGAAGTAGTGACGAGAGAGGAAGTTGGAAGCGAGGGAAATGGGCTGAAGGATGAAGGTCAGGGTGCTGATTCAGGGGGGGATAGGAATGTTTCTACGGATACTCACGTACCGAGCGCGAACGATTCTCTGACTCATCCCCCTCACACTTCCCATGATCCTGTTCCTACACCTGCTCCAAATCTCCGACGTTCGAATCGCCCTAATGCCGGGAAACGCCCTATGCGACCTGACGAGGACCCGAAACTGAGTCTAGGTTCAAGACGAGTCAAATCTCTGGCACCTTTGCCAACGAACTCGGATTCAGTGGGTGACGTCGGGACGAACCAAGCTTCAGTGGGTGATAATCATACTCGGGACGAAGAACTTAACTTTGCCATTCTCAAAGACGTTGGCGAGTTTGCTCTTTCCGCCGAAGGCGTCCCACGCAATTATCACGAAGCTATGGGCCGAAAAGACTCGGATGAATGGACAGCAGCTATTGTGGAAGAACATCAGAATCTTGTTCGGCGCGGAGTATTCGAGGAAGTGGACCTACCTCAAGGTATGAGAGTTCACGATAGTCGTCTCGTTTTCGCGGAAAAGACGAACTCTGAGGGAGAAGTAGTGAAGAAGAAAGCGCGATTAGTTGCGAAAGGCTTTACTGAAGAGCTAGGTGTGGATTATTTCCAGACATACTCACCAACGCTAGGTCGCGACACCCTATTCTCCTCACTCGCACACGCCGCATCCCTCGACCTCGAAATCCATCAACTTGACGCCGTTGCCGCTTATCTTAACAGCAATCTCCGAGAGGAGATCTACATTAAACCACCCCCAGGAGTCCCCGTTACACCCGGTAAGATCTGGCTACTGAAGAAGGCCTTGTACGGTTTGAAACAGGCCGGACTCGAGTGGTACCGCACGCTTCGCGATTATCTAAAGTCGTTGGGATATAAACAATCAGGGTATGATCCTTGCCTATATCGCTCAAAGGACTCACACTTTGTCCTGGTCTATGTGGACGACCTACTCGTCATTGCCCCTAAGCGCGACATCTCGAAAGTCAAGTCGGAAATCACCGAGCGCTACGAGATGCGTGACCTCGGCGAAGTCCATTGGTTTCTCGCGATGGAAATCACACGTGATCGAACGGCGAGAACCGTGACCATTAGCCAACGCCAGTACGTGACTGAAATTCTCACGCGATTCAGACTAGAGACGGCTCGATCGATGAGCACTCCAATGTCTGCTAACTTGAAATTAAACAAAATAAATTCCCCTGAAGTCGACACTCACCTCTACCAATCTATGCTCGGCTCACTCATGTACGCCTCCGTCAGCACTCGTCCCGACATATCCTTCGCTGTGGGTCTACTCGCTCAGCACGCGATCGCTCCCGGAAAAGAACATCTCACGGCAATCAAACGAGTTTTTCGTTATCTCAACGGAACTCGCGACTATGCTCTGGTCTTTGATGGGAAGAAGGTAAAGGAAGGACTAACTGGCTTCTCTGACGCCGATTGGGCTGGCGACTTGAGCACCCGACGCTCCGTGTCCGGGTATTGTTTCATCTATGGTGGGGCCGCGGTTGCCTGGTCATCCAAGAAGCAACCCACGATTGCATTGTCGAGTACCGAGGCGGAGTATATGGCGACAACTCATGCCGGTAAGGAGGCAGTCTACTTGGATCATCTTTACGACTCCTCTGGAATTCCCGTTGACTCACCCATTACCATTTTTGTCGACAATCAATCCGCCATCGCCCTCGCCGAGAACCCCGTATTCCACGCCCGAACGAAGCACATCGACGTTCGCCACCACTGGATCCGAGAGAAGATCGAAAGCGGAACTTTGGAACTCCAATACGTCCCAACCGCCGATCAAGTGTCCGACATTTTCACGAAAGCTCTCCCCATCGTCAAATTCGAGAAGTTCCGAGGAGAGCTGGGTTTGCGTCGAGTCACCCATCGCTGAGTGGGTGTGTTGTAAGACAGCAACGGTTGGTTCGACGTTTAGCGCAAGGATACCCGACCTACATTATCTCGGTGAGACGCCCGATGATTGATGTTAGGTTTATTTCTAGTCGGTCTCTACTGTCTGATCATTCCATGTTTATTTAGCATTTATCTTCCTTTATCCGACCTGTTGGTCGCCTCACTTTCCTTTATTTGTAATAATCCTCACTCCTGTTACACTCGATTAATCGACGCTTAAAAGCTCGATGTTTTCTTCGCTGACGCCCTCAGTTCTCATTGCGTTCACAACCGCGAGACTGAGGTCGGTATATCTTTTATCATATTCACTCGTTTACTTGTTCTAAAACCTTCACCTAGTATTATTCTATTCTAGGTAGATATCCAATTATAGTTCTCATTGCGTTCACAACCGCGAGACTGAGTATTATTCTATTCTAGTCTGCGTTATTTTATTCAATCAATAATCAACCAAAAACCTGACTCTGGAACTACTCATTACACCACATGTGCCACCACCTGTTCTACTACCTATAAACTCTCATGAATCATCTCCCCCCTTTCCCTGCACTTAGAAGCTTTTAATTCATTTCTTTATATATATTATATATATACCATGGACAAATTGACCCATAATCATTAGTTATATTACTTCTGGACTGCGAGTGAATGGCTGAAGCAGTTTGCCATATTTAGGATGCCATATTACAACAACAGGTTGCAGTGATGCAATGCAACACTTCAGTGTTGTATCTCATTGAAATGTGTTGCAACGCGTTGCAACTACAGTCACGTGATGCAACGGATCTGCAACTTTTCGGACATATGGCCGCAGATAGCTTGATTAATGTGCATTCGATCTCTAATGAGTACCTACATTGCTCGGGGACAAGGGCAGCGGATTCGACTGGGGTAGGTAGAGAGAGAACGCTGCATGTCGCGTTAAATTCTGCTTACACAACCAGGGCGATGAACGTAACCTAGTCAAGTCTCCGTGAATGTGCGAATGATTATATACTGGGCGTAAAGGAACGGAGTTGTTTAAAAAACGCAAAGCGCAGACCAATATTGGGAGACTCGAGGGAGACAGCGTGAGATCGAGAAAGCTTCAGGTTAGCCGATGAACTCGAAGCGACCCGACGGAGAGAAAATGCATAGGAGCAACAATCGTCTTGAAACCACGTAAGCGAATATGGCAAATTTTACGTAATTTCGAGGTCGCTATTCGTTGCCAGCCCTAGTGATTATTTTCTTCTGAAATTCTACATCGAAGCGCTCGGCGCGACATCCAGAACCGACGGGACTCAATTACAAATATTGAACTATCAACAGCACCAACGCCGCACGCGAGATGAGCCGCTCTCCAGTTTTATCCCATGACTTCTTCTCGCGTCCCATCGCTGGGACCTTTGATCAGGCGAATCAGGAAGTGAATGTAACCGACGCGTCGCGCTCACAAACACCGGATCACCAGCAACACCGACGCGAGAAGTTGAGCTGCTCGCCAATTTCATCCCATGACTTCTTCTCTCGTCCCATCGTTGAGGAATCTGATCAGGCGAACCAGGAAGTAGACGTAACCGACATGTCGCGCTCACAAATACTGGATCGCCAACAACACCAACGCGAGATAAGCTGCTCTACAGTTTCATTCCATGACTGCTTCTCGTGTCTCATCGCTGGAGAACATGATCCGGCGAACCAGGGAATGAATGTAAGCGACGCGTCGCGCTCACAGGTACTGGATCACCAACAGCACCAACGCGAGATGAATCGCTCTCCAATTTCATCCCCTCGTCTCATCGCCGGGGGACATGATCAGGCGAATCAGGACGTGAATATAAGCGACATGTCGCATTCACAAGTTTTGGATCACCAACAGCACCAACAAGAGATAAGCCGGTCTCCATTTCCATTCCATAACCTCTTCCCGCCTCTCATCGCTGAGGAACACGATCAGGTGAATCAGGAAATGACTGTAAGCGATATGTCACCAATATTGGATCACCAGCAGCCCCCACGCGAGATGAGCTATTCTCCAAGTTTACCCCATGACTGCTTATCTCGTCCCGTCGCTGGGGAATATGACCAGGCGAATCAGGAACCGAATGTAAGCGAAACGTCGCGCTTACAACGACGACCTCGCATCTGCAACCAGGAATTCATAGGACGTTTCCCTCTCCCGACCCGTGTCTACCACGAATCTTTCGAAGAATGGCGGATGCTGCGTTTGCCTTCGAGGCAATGGCCAATCGTAAGGGGGGGAGATCTCGTCTCTCAGAGTTTCCAATTCCCCTGCACGTTGAATGGATTTTTCTTCAAAGTTGCAGGATGGAAATCAGAGGAATGGTCCGTCTCCCTCGGTGAGATTATGTATAGCACGCACAAACATAAGAGTTGAAATTCTCCTCAGTGATATCGATGGCTCCTCTCGATCCCTTAGCTTCTCCATATAATATGTTAGAGTTGTACCTGGTTGTGGAGCGACTATTTGAGCCGACTCCCGGGTTAGGGCCAGCAGTAGAGGCATCAATGAAACTTTCATTGATCAATGGTGAAACGGCGAAACATGATGCAGTCAAAGCTACAACCCAAACATTCTCAAGAAAATTCACCAACGCTGAAAGTGTCCACAGTAAGCGATGATGCCCTACTTTTCGTGACGAAATCTTTGCTGATATTTCAAAGTCGAACGCCTGAGCTTCGAATATTGGACGTATCTGTTTCGGTTTTTCTCCACGCTCAACGAGCAAACAGTATCTCTAGTGCTGGACATCTACTCGACGGCGTCTGGTGTCTTCCAAATACAACCTCGCCAGGTGTTGGAGAACAGGGATATCATGGATACAATAATGGAGAACTTGGATGCGCGGTCCTTGGCATCTTTGAATGAAGCGCTTCAACCTACCCCGTCTAAGTGGATTTCCAGCTATGACGGATTCCGGATTACACTTCAGCGGGTCATTCGGGTTCTCACTCGGTTCTTTCCAGATCCTCATGCGTTTGCCGACTGCATGTGCGAAACTGGAGCCATTATCGGCGGCTCAACAGCCCTTTGTATTTTCAATGGAGAACCATGGTTACCGGGTGACCTTGACGTTGTGGTCTCCCCGACTTTTGCTCCCCGGCTGATGGAATTCGTCGGATCGAACGGCTATGTTCAGGAAGATAAAAAAGTGGATCCTTACGATCCACCAAATGGTGTCTTCACATCTAGGCCCTTCAGCTGGTTCTGCTACCGAAAAGGGGACCGGAAAATCGACATCAGCACTACGAGGAAAGGGACTCCGGCTGATTTCATTGGGACATATCATCATTCGTATGTCATGAACTTCATATGCCACGATGGATTATATTCCTTTTTTCCGGAAGACACCTCCGCGCGAAGGGGTCGAGTGAACAGTTATGAGAAGGAGCACAAGGCGGCAGCTGCTCGAGAGAAATATCGTGAAAGAGGTTACGAAGTGATCGACGATTTACCAATTCAAACATTCACTGGAGATTATGGCCACATTCTGATACACGAAATCAAGAACTTTTGGCTCCAGAAGCTTCCTCTCACAACGTCTGATTATAGGAAGTTCTGCCAGGAACGCAGTGCCAGGGACAAGGCGTTCCAGAAGCAGGTACGCTCTTCTTCGTGTCTCTACTCCATCCCTTGGATATCACTAATCGTGAGTCAGCGCACGTAAAATGTGAAAGGTGTAGATGATCCAATATTCGATCGGTAACATAGTTCAAAATTTCATCATCATCCACTATCTTGCAGGGGATTTCTCCTACATCAATATTTACTGCTTAACTTTTTTGTGCTCGTATTTCACATTTGGTGCATTACACTATCTCCCTTGACCTCCACTGCTAGAAAGTGTAGTACTTTTATTGTGGTTTTGGCATCCAACTTCTCACATGCTTTGTTTGATCACGTCCTGGAGGATATAAGACACTGGGGCGCGCGCGCAGCCTCTCCAATTAATACACCCCGCGGTTTCGTCGCAGTGCAACTCTTGAGTTGCGCGGGACACGTAGACTACAACATGCAAACATAGTAAAAGGAAATGGTATCACCTTGGCAGCCTCGATATGGAGAACTGAGGGAGAGGAAAAAAATTACGGCGCGCCAACGTCGCTTATGGCGATGACCTGTGATAACGGGCGATAAAAATAATCAAGACAAAAATTATTGAGGGCGTGGGTATAAGCGTCATGATATAAAGTAGAAGTTTCACAACATCCCTCATATCCGCAGTCGCCCGGTAGTCGTCGATGAACATTGATATTCTAACAGAGGGAACCATTCTCAGAGATGTGGTGTCGGTTGATTGTGTGGGGTTTGTCGAGATCGTGAGAACTTGATGCTTCACGTGCTTTAGAGCCATTTTCATGTGGATCCTTGACAGCCGCCGAAAATGATAGGTGAGGTTTGCTTGTAGCTACTGTCTAGGAAAATTTTACGGAAATTATTTCGCTTCAGTTGTAGGACTTACGGGGGGTATCGCCTCCGGTAAATCCTCAGTCTCGCAACTCCTGGTTTCACACGGTATCCCCATCGTCGATGCCGATATCCTTGCTCGGCGCGTAGTTGAACCCGGGACTTCCCCACATGCTCAAATCGTTGCCACCTTTGGTTCTGAAGTGTTGCTGCGAGATGGGTCGCGTGCAATTGATAGGAAGAGACTGGGCGAGGTTGTTTTCAATGACGAACACAAGAGGAAATTGTTAAACGCGATTGTTCACCCTGCCGTAAGGAGAGAGATGATTTGGGACGTTGCGAGGTATTGGCTTACAGGGCATAAAGTGTGCGTGGTCGATGTGCCATTGTTAATTGAGGTGGGGTTATGGAAATACGTTTCCAAGGTTGTTCTGGTTTATTGGTGAGCTCCCCTATCGTTAGGAGGGGTTCCAATGGTCATTACTAATGACATGAATCATTGGCGTTGACAGCTCCAAAGATATTCAACTACAGCGACTTATGCGCCGAGATAGGATCCCGCAAGCTGCCGCCACCGCACGCATCAATTCTCAGCTCCCCTTAACATCCAAACTCGAATATTCCGATCATGTAATCGACAACTCTGGCTCCCTTGTCGATCTCGAAACACAAGTCGCCTCTCTTGTGAAGCGATTAAAAAGAGATGCCGGTTGTATGTGGGTCATTAATTGGCTTATTCCTCTCATCGGTCTTGTTGCGGGCCTTCTAAGGCTGTTATGGCGGAGTATCAGGCGACGGAGACGACATGGTCCGCCAGCTACCCTGGGGGAAGGAGAGGAGAGCCCACTGGCTCAATCAGGCTGCAAGGACCCGATACTGAATAAGTTGAAGCGCTCGAGTACTATTTATTTATGCTTTACAATTTCACATCGGTGCCGCTTCTAGAATGATTATGATCATGTAGTGCGTTACATCCTTCTTCGTGTATCACTACTCGGATCAGTTCATGGTTTAATTTGCTCCTTTCGATAGGATGGGAAACGGAGCCTTCAAATATCCATCAATGCCAGTTGCACACACTTTGAAGTCGTTCAGTTGACTGCAGCGAGCCAAGTAGTGTCCGTGGAAGTATTGCAATTATATCGATAACAAAAGTACAACCTTCAATGATATGATTAATGGGTTCAACAACGTAGAACGTCCTGACAGGAATACCGTTGACAACCATTCTAGAGAAGCAAGCCGCATGCTAGGCACATAAGCGAGGGTTTCGAGGGCGAGGAGTCAGTTCGTCCGAAGCGAAAAGTTACATATCAATGCTCTAAGCTATGAACCGTGCACAACTAGGCTGGCGTCATTGGACCCCAGTCGTATGGGTAAATACGCTTCCAAAGCTTAACATAGCCAAAGCAGCAATTTGATCTGGAAGTTACTGTAGATCTAGGAAGCTACCGGAGACCACCACGCCCAAAAGATTGACTTGAAGACGAACGGAGGACTCATCAAATCGATTCCGGGTCTAAATCCGCTCAACACATCGATAAATGTCTCGTACGCACTTAAATCCTAGCGGGCATCCAATTCTTCAGTCTTATTACAATCTGCAACGAAAAAGAAGTTCTTACATGAGAAACAAAATTTAACAACATCTCCCAATATTTCCTGAAGGTTTTGCCAGCCCCCAACGTCTCCCCAGCCTGAGGTACGGAGGAGTCGTAGCCGTAATCCAGAGAACGATTAGTATCGAACATGCCCCTGTCGATCCTAAGGACACGCTCGAAGTACGAATGAGCGAAGCCTGGTGGCAGCTCAGGCTTGTTCGAAGATTGTAGTGCCCCATGCAAGGCGGTATTAAGAACTATTGAGTTAAACAAGAGCTTGGCCACGCCCTGTCCGAAAATCGGGTTCACTCCTTTGTAATAAAAAAAAAGTTGGCTTGAAGGCAAGTACAGTATTCCGATGAGGTAAGACCCACTCATCAAGGCATCACCAACGGTGATGAAATTATTCGGGACAGGTTTGGATGCGTAGTCGATCCAATAGCAGGAGGTCTGACGGATGAAGACGCTTAATATCTGTCTCATGTTGCAAAGAAATGGAGTATCTTACCATGGCGTAGGCATCCCATTTGATAGGTTCGTCAAGGTTGTCTGCGCCCTCTCCAGCTAGCCGTAATAGTTCAAAAAGCCATTCGTCCCGGTCATGGCGTTCCTTGGGGTGGCTCTTCCTATACATTTGCCTCGTCGTCTCGATATATTGAGCTAAAGTCCCAGGACGTGTGTCAACACCCCACCCGCAATATCCGACAAGCACTACCTCAAATAATGATCAGAGAAGCCAAAATTGAGCTTATTCTTATATCTGGGCTTACATCTATTCCCCTCGATTCGCTGATACATGAAAAGGTCTCGGCCAGTTTCGGCCGTTGGGGTAACTGCGCCGATGACAGTGCAGGTATCCCACCTCCCAAAGGACCGATCATCTTGAGGTAGTGCCCTTGATACCTTCTCTTGCGTTTTGGGAGTGAGGCTGAAGGATGTGCTGTAATACTTCACATTCGGGTTGTATGAAGCACGGTCATAAGGTCCCCATTTCTCGCAGGCTGCTGGCAATAACTTGGCACCGATTGTGGATGCGCCAGAGCAATCCACAAAAAGTGTGCATGGGATTGCATTTGGAGCTGTCGTCGAGACTTCTGAGGCGGGACGGTAAGAAACCGAACGAATTGTTGTTTTGTCAGCTGAAGCTTCAATGCTGGTGACAGTTCCATGAATGACTTGAAGCCGGTCACCGCAGTATGCGATGGTCAGACGTCGACAGAGAGTTTCGATGCTAGGGCGGTGGCGCCTTAGTTTTGGTGTGAGGGTACGAAGGCATGGGCTTACGAGATTCGCGAGCCAGTGATTTGATCCCGCATATTGAGTTTGAGGTCGCCGAAGTAGTTTCTACCGATCCACCAGTGTCTCAATCCAGGGAATATGTAAACATCATTCTGCGGCGCTTCCTTGTCAAAGCTTGTGTAGAGTTTGCGAAGGATTGGCAAGGAGATGGTTAAGAGAACATGCAGATGAGGTCGTTGTGGCACCCTTCCAGCAGCCGTTATGTTAGTATCGGGGTCAATCAGAACGATTTTCTCGAAGTAGTCGGCCAAAATTCTTGCGGAAGCGTATCCGGACAGACTACAACAATTGTCTTGCTCAGTGACATGTACTTCGTGTAGAGAAGACCGTCGAGCTCCAAGTTCACTCACCTTCTTCCAGCGACGACGACCGTTCCTGGGATTTTCTGGGTAGGAGGGGCTTTGCCTAATAGCTCAATGTCATGAAGCACCGTAGTCTTGCGGATAAGATAGCGACGAAGTATATTCCATGATGCCTTGTACCCCACATAAGAAAGGATGGCCACCCAAAGAAGCGTCCTGGCCATACGAGTTGTAAGGGAGAACCAAGAAATACTTTAGGGGATTGGAAAAGCAACGTCGAGTCCTGACCGGGAGGCTGTGCTTGTGCCGAGATGCATAGCGATCCCACCTACTGAAACAAGCCAATATTCTCGTATCCATGCCGGCCGGTACACGCCGTCCCCCATGGGCGCCATGCGCGGCAGAAGAACCGCCCATGCCGACAAGGGAGCCTAGGGCAGTGCTAGGAGGGTGAATGTTGGTACTGCCCCCGAAGCTCTTCGACAGTCATCGTCCACGGAAGCCAAGCGCCTATCCCAAAATGGAAGTTGTGATTGCAGGTGCTGATCACGATTCAGACGTATACCGCTTGATCTAGAACGTTATGTAACCCTTGTCCGTACTTGCAGCCAATTTAAAAAAAATTGTGCCAATTCCGATTTTAGCGAAAGAAATCTGGTTGCGCCTCGCAAATTTGAATTCCGGCGCTACAGCCAAGCGATTTACGAAGGAGATCCCTCACGATCTCACCAACTTTCTTTGGTATACTTGATATTACATAGCAGAGATTCCATAGCAGAGAATCGATGGGGATCAACTCCATTTTGCCTGAGTTATACTTCTTGTTGATGTGCTGTTTTTCGCCATTATATTAGTTCTGCTCCTATATTGTCGATGGAGACATCGAAGCGTGCCCTGGGACGATCGATAGCCCAATTTGTCGATTCGGTCGTATGCCAAAGCATTCCCCAAGGAATGTCATAGTAGAGACGAATCGTTTTTCAAGGCCCTCCAGATTGCTGGTTACACGACCGATGTTTCGTCAGCGGGAGATACATTGGGATTTGGCACATGATTTACCCTTTTGAACTTAGTAAGTATGCGCTCCCCCCTGGATGGCATAGGTGGCGGCAGGAATGAATGATGTATGCTAATCTTCAATAGGACGCTCTGGCATTTGTAATATGGGACAATGTTGTGAACGGATATCAGCCGGTGATAGACTTGAGGAGTCCGTCCAAGTCGCTATTTTGGATGTGGTGGTCACCTCCGGAGTCTCGTAGTTGTCTATCGGGATATTGGTTCTGAAGCCTCGTCAGGAATCTGTACTTTTTGCTTCCCTTTCGCGGGTCGTGAGGCGAATAGTATCTGTTAAAATTAGTAATGGTATTGGAACCTTGTATCGCTTCAGTGGCAGAGCTAGATCGATTATGCCCTTGACCTGGGTCGTGGGGCCTCAAGGGGCGTTACGTTTTCCCCCTCCGTGATGCATTGCCTCTTCTCCACCCGCGGATATAAAATTACGAAGACATGCATGGCCATCCACCTAGTTGGAAACCATATTCATTCAGACCGGTGTGCGTCGTACGTCTGGAAAGCTTCAGGCTTATTCTGGTTTATCCGTGCAGCACACTGTCATTCACAGGACATTATAACTTGTAGTGTTTGTGTCATGATAATGCGATTGGATACACATAGGGGCTTCGCGGTCTACTTCAGCTGGGGTTCGTCTCAGGTGGGGGTAACTGAATGGCCAGAATACCTGGCGAATAGTTCAACATGTCCCCGCTTCGTTTCGACCTCGGAGTCGTTCCCACAAGACCATCCCCATCACTAGCGGGCTAAACAAATCCACATATGGGCTGATTCCTAGACCCACCTCATCAGCGGCGTTTGCCACCGCTGTACTCCACTGACTAGCCCTATCTAGATAATTCAAGCATTCCCTGAATCTGGCACCGTATTCCAAAGTTTCTCCTTCTTGAGGTTTCGTGGCTGGGTGGCCATAGTCAAATGAACGAGTGACATCGTAGGTGGAGCCGCATATTCGATTGGCTAGCGCAAAATAGGAACGCGAAATCGGTAGTGAGGAGATGTTGGTATTGTTGGGGGAGCCAGTGATGTGCTTATGTAGGGTCGTATTTAGCACAACGACGCTCTTAAATACGTTCGGCATCCCTTGAGCGAAGAAAGGATTCGTGCCTAAGGGAAAGCTCACCGTCAATACACAGTTATGTGGCCACTGTGGAAGTGGGTATCGTACACATGGCGGAATCTCCGATGGCTACGAAATTGTTGGGGGTAGGTGCCGATAAATAGTCAGGGTAATACGAGGGACGCTTTAAAAAAAAAAGAAACTAAGGATATTGCCAAAACATTGGACCACCC